ACCCCATCACTTTTCTTAGGGAATACTTCCAAGTGTTGGAAAAAGTGAGTCCATTCTCATGCTTACCATTGATTATCTCATAGCCATTGAGTGATACGCCAATTGAATGTCATCCAAATTGCAATCATACACCTGAACATTGTCCTGAACAGTGACAGACCGTTCACTTGATTACCATTCATTGTGACCACTGCTCATCAACACTGTCACCAATCGTGTCAATGCTTTCAATTGACATCTCTATGCAATTGAGTGGTGAGACAATGTGTGGTCACTTGATGACCATCACACACACACACACTCATACATACTTGGACACAGTGCAGCAGTGGATCACTTGATGAGATGTCTAATCAATAATGAACTGTCATCTCAATGTTGATTAACAGTTTACGGTTTACCATTAGGTGTGCATTCAATTGGTGTTGAATTCAATTCAAGCATTTGGTTCATATAAGAAATGCCTAAATTATACTTTATTTGTTTCAAACAATACACATTCAATTAAATGCTATTTAATATAATGTAAGTTACAGTTACTGTAACTTGTAGGCATTGTGAAGCACTCAATTTTGGTCACATTTGAGCGCATAATTAGTTAATATATTTAAAGGGTTTGTTATATAGTATTTAACTTATAAGTAATTTGTTAGTTATATAACTGATTAGACCATTGATTTGCTACTATAAGCTCGAAATGGGTTAAATCATAACTATTAACTGATTTTTAAATTGTAATACAGTATATGATTAGTGTTATGAATGCGTTTATTTAAAAGAATATTTATACTACAGTATGAATGTATGAATATTCAAATACTGTATGTGAATAATCATTTCACGTCCAAATTAATATCATTTTATGATTTAATAATAATAAAAACTTTGAACACATTCATTGATTCGTTTTCAAAGGGAATTAAAGTACAAAATAAATGTTTTTATTTATAAAATGATTACAATATTTTGATGGCAATTATCACTCAATATACTGACAGCGATTGTATTGATTGTTGATAAATGTTATTTAAAACACCAGTTATTCTTGAGTTTTATTTGATTTGATTTTTAAGTCAATTAATGTTTGCTGTTATGAGAGAATGTGTCATAAAATAGATTCCGATGTTAATAGGTGTTGATGTGTGAGATATATAGTATAGTATAGACCGATAATAAGACTAATATAAGTGATGTTTGTGTCAATAGGAAGAAGCAGTAAAAGCCAAACAAAAAGCTCCCATTTCTCCGGACAACGAACGCGACGATGACTTGTCTCCCGTTCCCATCCCATCCAACACTCAACGCCCCCGAAGGGGTGGTGTTTCTGCTGAAACTTACAATGAAGACGATGTGAAAAATTACGTAAAAAAGGTATATTTGAGTGAATGGTTGATATGGCGGATGACATAATAATTGGCAAAATTGATGGACAGGTTGTGCCTAAGGATGACAAGGCTCGGGCATCACTCGAGAAAGTTATGTCCAAAATAGTGTTATTCAAGCATTTGGATGATAACCAAAGAAGTGATATATTCGATGCAATGTTCGCTGTGGTGCACAATCCGGGCGAAATGATCATCAAACAGGGCGATGAGGGCGACAACTTCTATGTCATCGACGAGGGAGAGGTCGAAGTGAGTACACCCTCGCCACCACTGCCACACTGCTGACCATTCACTCACCGGTGCAACACTTGTTCCCATTTCAGATATATGTCAACAACGTTTGTGTGACAACCATCGGCGAGGGCGGCAGCTTTGGTGAACTGGCGCTCATATACGGCACCCCTCGGGCCGCTACAGTCAAAGCCAGAAATCACGTCAAATTATGGGCCATCGATAGGGACACGTATCGAAGGATTCTTATGGGAAGTATTATTAGGAAAAGAAAACTATACGAAGAATTTTTATCCAAAGTTTCAATTCTCGGTATAAAATGAGTCATTAATTACTCATTGGATAAGCGTTTACTAAAAAATATTGGTCTCAATAATTGCAGAGAGTTTAGACATATACGAGAGATTAACAGTAGCCGACGCGCTAACACCGGTCCAGTTCAACGACGGCG